ATTTTTCAGATTTGTTTTAACTGATACGACAACGTTTATATCAATTAAAACACTTTGTAAAAAATCCCTTAAGTTATTTTAATCGATTAATTCGCCTTTTAATCGATTAAAATACTGCCAAATGTTTCCATAAAACTTTCTAAGTCATTTTAACTGATAACAATCTGTTTTAATCGATTAAAACACTTTGGAAAAAATCTCTTAATTGTTTTAATCGATTATTTCGCATTTTAATCGATTAGAATTCTGCCAACAGTTTCATAAAACTTTCTAAGTCATTTTAACTGATAACAGACTTGTTTTAATCGATTAAAACACTCTGGAAAAAATCTCTTAGTTGTTTTAATCGATTAATTCACATTTGCATCGATTAAAATACTAACGAACATCTTTCAAAACACTTCAAGTTATTTTAATCGATTATTTCGAGTTTGTATCGATTAAAATTCTGCCAGAACATTTTTCAAAACATCTTAAGTCATTTTAATCGATTATTTCAATTCTAAATTAGTTAAAATACTGGCAGAAGGTTTTCAAAAACTCTTTTAATGAAAACAATCGATTATTTCGAAGACATATCAATTAAAACAGTTCCAGTGTATGTTTTAAAAGGTTTCAATCGATTATTTCGAAAACCTATCAGTTAAAAACCTGTTACGAAAGTGTTAAGAACATTTTAACTGATAAAGCTCACATAATATCAGTTAAAACAGTTACTTAAAAATATTTTAACAAAATACTTTGTTTTTAATAGATTAAACACGTTTTAGAGGCACTTGCAAAATCTTTTAAATGATGAAACCTCATGCAGCAGAGAGATATGAATGATTATACCTATGTATAGATGCAGACTCACTAATCACTCTACCCTTTTGACCAAGTAACCTTTGACTGCAACAGAATAGTCTTTGACTTCATCAAATCAACAAGATCTCGGTTTAATCAAATGATTCAATAAGATCTTCATCACTTTCAGCGACTTGGGCTGTAGAAGTATATGCTCCATGACGGATATGGACCCCAGCTGATTTGGGCCATTTTAGCATAATCTCATACTCCTCCAAAGTAGGTACCATATCGAACTGCGGGAACTCAAAGCAGTGCAGACTAGAATTCCAAAAATGAACTAGAGCCCTGATTAACGTAGGATCAACACAGATCTTCAGCAGGTCGAGAATCCGTCCATAGGTTTTTTCGAAATCGGAGCGGACCTCTGGTGGCATCAATGCACAAAGCCTTTTCAATTTTTCAGCGTGGTATCGGGGAATGTCCACTTTCTTCATTTGTCTACTAGTCCCCTCCATTTTCTAAAAAACCAAAATGCATGCTTATGAATATGATGCTTATTGTAGGTATGCATGTAAGTGTTTATTTTTTTCTATTTATTTATCATGTTTTATTTCTACATGATGTATGATAGCTTTTGTGTATATATATATATATATTTTTTAATAAACTATCTATATGGATGTTTTATGAATTTGATGTTTTTATGAATAAGGTCCCATTTTTATTTGATTGGGTTTTTTTTATGATTTGATATATTTTTTTCATGGTTTTATTTTATAGCCTTTTATCTCTTTTGTCGAACTGCGTAACTACTTAGCTTACAAAGAACCTGAAACCAGGCTAGCTAAAAGGCAGACTGTCCAAGATAAAATGGTTTATTGCGAAAGAATAATGTTAGCATCCCTTATCTCTTCTGTTGGACTGCGTGACTACTTAGCTTACAAAGAACCTGAAACCAGGCTAGCTAAAAAAGACAGACTGTCCGAGATAATGGTGTTTATTGCGAAAATATTTTTTGTGATTTTTTCTGTTGTTTGGTTATGCTATGCAATCAAATGCAACAAACAAATGCACACACAATTCACTCATCCGCGAACACGTAAGAATACGTTTTAATCACGAGCTAGGATTTTCCTACAGAAAAGTGTGTTGGCGAAGGTAGGTTCTAACTGTTCTCACCAAGGCTTAGGCCCCCAAGGTGCCCCCATTATAGGGTCCCCACTCTCTAGCCTTTCGACCATGCTTACCACTAAGGTCATAGTCAGTCTTTGTGCCAAAAGAGGAAGGTTATCACCTTGAGTGGTGGTTTCCGATCATACCGGTGGGCTACATGACCCTCACTACGGAAAACCGTACTTGCCACCCACTCCCTATGGATTTCTCACTTGCCCCCGAGTATAGAGGGAACTGTTGTGTGCAAGGGTTTGTGTACAGTTTTTATTTCAAACAATTGCGTAAAATAAACAAACAACAGTTATTAAAGCCAAGAAAATAAACATGTTATAATACAAGGTAGGGTAAAAGCAAAATTTTTAAGTTTATTTATTAAACCGACCCATCACTAAATGGGATAAACTCTCTAGGCTTCCCCAGTGGAGTCGCCATCTGTCACCACCATCAAAAGAGGCGGTCGGAGCGACGCGATGGTTCCGACTTCCCATTTTTCGCGTTTTATGGGTGGTGTTACAACGCCTCTAGGTTGTCCGATAACCAGGTTGGTCCTAAAAGCATATTTTCAAAGGGGTTCTTATGGAGTCGCCACCGATGTTTTTACCGAAAATATCGAAAAAGGAAAAAAAAGAAGGCGTTGGTTTTTTAAGAAAAAACCAACTTTGGCCATTATAACCAGAGTTGGGTAAGGGAGTTAGTTACGTGTAGGGAAGGTATTAGCTTCCCTACGACGCCCCTTTCGAGTTCCCTATGATAGGCCAGTTATTTCGTAAATAAATTAAAAATGACGCTTTTACCCTTTTATTTGCGAAATTAAAGTATGATGACTACATGACCCTAATTAATGTATATATAAATGATAAAGCGATAAAAGAGAGAGGGAGAGAGTAGAGAAACCTCCAGAGAAAGCTTTGATTAATTCTTTAAAAAGGTAGGGTGCGTTTTGGCAGCCCTTCGCTCTTACAACGTCGAATTCTCTCTCGAAACGCTATAAAAAACTCTCTTAAAGACACTCAGAAAACTCTGAAAATGCTTCGGAGGGACTCTAGGAGAAGAATTTTAAGAAATTATAGAAGGAGAAGTGGAAGAGCTGTGTGAAATGGAGAGGAGAGCGCTCCCCTTTTATAGGGATTTGCGCCTGTCAGGTCGAGATCGCCGTCTCACTTGGCAAGGTCGAGAGGGCCGTCTCGCCATTCGGGACGACCGTCTCGCCATTCGGGACGGCCGTCTCGCCATTCGGGACGACAGTCTCGACTTTGACAAATGGCGAGACCGTCGTCTCGCCAAACGAGACGACGGTATCGACTTGCCAAATGGCGAAAGGGCCGTCTCGCCAATCGGGAAGGTGGTCTCGCCAATGGCAAATGGAGAGACGACCGTCTCGCCAATCGGGAAGGTGGTCTCACCAATGGCAAATGGCGAGACGGCCGTCTCACTAAATGAGACGACGATCTCGACTTTGCCATTAGGAGAGACGGCGGTCTCGACCCCTGAGGTGGAAATCCTTATTTTTTTGTACAAAAAAGCGCTTCTACTCTAATGTGGGGCCTAAAAGTCCATCCTAGGGATCTTTTAAGCCTTGCCCATCTTCGAATTGAAGGTCTTCTGCTCTTTATTTTGTGACCGAACAAGATTTGGGGTCTACAGTTACTAAAAAAATAATTTTGTGTTTAAATATTCATTGTAATTTTGTCATGGATTTTGTTGTTTTTTTATAATTCTTGTTGTAAATTTTGCTTTTGTGTGTGTCTTGGGAAAATGTCCTTGGTACAATCCCATCTCCTATTTTAAATATTGTAATAGTTTCACGAATTAGTCTTGTGGAAGTGTCTCAAGAGGCTCATTAAGTGTCACTCGAACTTTCACTCTAGGTTTTTGTCTAGTTTACTTTGTGTAAATTTTTACAAGTAGAATTTAATTTTTTTTGTGACAAAATCTAGGTGAGTCTTTAAACGACTAGTTGACCTTCCTTTGGTCTTAGGGGTGTGTCACACACACACTTGAAAAATTTCTTTTGTGAAAACCTTTGTCACTTCATTTTTGTGAAAAATAATTTTTCAAATTATTATGAAATTCTTTCTTAAACAAAAATGAGTGACCATTGTCGCAACTGAAATCGCGGCGGGACGACGAACCAAACTTTTAAAGGATTTAAAAAAAAAATCAGAATCAGAGTTTTGGAGTCGTCACCATAGTTTATTTAGGGAAACTATGGAAAAACCATAAAGATAAGACAAGGTCTACCAAAACCGGATTCAGGTTCGGGAGTCGGTTACGAGTAGAGAAGGTATTAGCACCCTACAACGTTCGTCCTAAGATAGTTACCCTTAGTTGAATATGCGAAATTACATGTCATTTTTTAAATATTTATTTTCCCCAAAAATCAGAAAACAAAGAAAGAAAAATAGAAAAAGAAGAGAATGAACAAAAATATTTTTTAGTTTTTCAGGGCCCGACAAGGATTGACCTTGCTCCTACGTATTCTCATTCAAAATGAGAAATCAGGGTTACGTAGTTCTTTGTAGAAAAAATTGTGTGTTGATTAAGGTTTTGAAATATTTGGTGTTTTTGAAAGAGTTTTGTAGTTTAGTTTTTTTGACGTTTTGAAGACACATGATGACGCGTGCGGTCATACTCGTGTTTCAAAGGTTTATTTAAAAAGGGAAGACATGATGATGTGAACGATCATACCCGTATCTTAAAGTTTATTTAAAATAAGAGGACATGACGACACACACATTCATACCCATACGTCAAAGTTTATTTAAAAGAAGAGGACATGACGACTCGAGTGGTCGTACCCGTACCTTAAAGTTTATTTAAAAGAAGAGGACGTGATGACGCGAGTGGTCGTACCCGTACCTCAAAGTTTATTTAAAAGAAGAGGACATAATGATGCAAGCGGCTGTACCCATACCTCAAAGTTTATTTAAAAAGAGAGGACATGACGACGTGAGCGACCGTACCCATACCTCAAAGTTTATTTAAAAGGAGAGGACATGACGACGCGAGTGGTCATACCCGTACCTAAAAGTTTGTTTTTAAATAGAAAATAAAACTTGTAAAGGCGCGGGATCGACAACCCTAGGTTGATACACGGGGTCGACAACCCTAGGTCGATACGCGATGCCGACAGCCTTAGGTCGATATGCGGGGCTGACAACCTTAGGTCGATACGTGGGGATAGCCACGAGACCGACATTCTTAGATCGGAGTGCGAGACCGCAAAAGCGAGTAACACAAGACCAACAACCACAAAATCAAAACAAGCTGGTAGCCTCAAACAAAACAAGTTGATATCCTCAAGATAAGAATAAAACAAAAAGCTCAAACTCTCATACTTTCGTATCAAAAGTGTCATGAAGCACATAAAAACATACAACCACAACCATCCAACCTTTATAATAGGAATCCATATATTTACAGCCAATGATAAAATAAGACGTGGCATTAGTTGCAAATCACCCACACTCGCAAGCAACAATCCAAAGGTGCTTCAACCCAAATTGGTAAATGAAATCTTCACGGGCAAGTTGGCTCGCGGTGTGGGTTGGCGGTAGAGGCTGCCAAAACACCTCGTGGTGGTGGAAGCTGACGAGCGCGCAGAAAGGATGAGACCACGGAGAAGGCGGCTAAGGTGTTGCTCGTGAGGGGTCACGAATTTGGTGGAGGTCGTGGCTGATGTTAGGGGCGATGGACATTCAAATGAGGCTGGCAGCTCACAAAGGGGGTGCTGGGTGAGGAGAGTGAGTGATGGTCGTGAATGGAAGGGGAGAAAAAGCTTAATGGAGGTGCCCCCGGTGGAAATGGTCCGATTGGGATTGGGAAATGGGAAATTGAAGGTGCGGAGTGATGGAGAAGGTGAATGGGCCTGTAGACCCAAAATCTTGCCTGACTCCCCAATAAAGCCAGAGATTACCTGTTTCGAAGATGGTCAAAACTTTGTTAAGTCCCTAATAGTTTTTTCTAGGTTCCATTTAAGATAGGAAGGGTTTTCAAAGGCAATAAAAATAGGAAATTCCGTCGGGAACAGCAGATGGTCGTCCAGGATAGTCAGACGGTCGTCCATGCCTACTTTAAGGCAATGGACGACCGTCCACTCTATATGGACGACCATCCATGGTCACTTTTTGCCATGGACGACTGTCCACTAAGTCCAGACGGGCACCCACTTTTTCCTGGTGTGGTTCCCTATAAATAGGAGCCCCATTTCTCGAATTTTTCACAACTATTCACTCCTACCACTCTCTAGGAAGCCTTTTGGAACTTTTGAGTGACTCTAAGCATTATTCCGGAGTTCGAGTGAGCTTTCCGATTTCCGTTAAGGTAGAAATCGGTTAAGGAGGTCTCTCTTTGAGACATCTGACCCTCGGTAGATGAAATTTTATCTTTTGCGGGAGGAGCATGCCTATAGAGTGCGGGGACTACCAAAAAGCGTCCTCAAGTTTCGAAGAGTTAATATAAAGATTGCTTCGGAGGTTCCTTCCCTATTCTCTCTCTTTTACTGCTTTCTTTATCGCTTTCTTTGTATGCATTAGATATTAGGGCCATGTAGATATTTAAATTCTGCAAGCAGGTAAAATAATAGGGTAAAAACATAATTTCTTTAAGTATTTATTTTATAAACTAGTCTGTCATAGGGAACCCGAAAGGGGCGTTGTGGTGTGCTAAGACCTTCCCCACACGTAACTAACTCCCTTACCCAACTCTGGTTGTAATGCCAAAGTTGGTTTTTTTTTAAACCAATGCCTTCTTCTTCTTTTTTTCTTTTTCAATGTTTATGGTAAAAACATCGATGGTGACTCCATTGAACCTTTTCGAAAACCTCACCTTTAGGTACAACCCGGTTATCGGACAACCTAAAGGCGTTGAACATCTTCTTTAAAAAATGCGAGTCAATCAAAACCATCTCGTCGCTCTGACAAATGGCGACTCCATTAGGGAAGCTAGAGAGTTGATCCCATTTAGTGATGGACTAGTTTAATAAATAAAAACTTGAAATTATGTTTTTACCCTTCCTTGCTTTTATAACATGCTTTATTGTTTGGCTTTAATAACTATTGTATGTTTACATTCTGTAATTGTTTGAAATAACAACTGTACACAAAACCTTGCACACAACAGTCCCTCTATACCCCGGGGCAAGAGTGAATACACATAGGGAGTGGGTGGCAGGTACGACCGACCATGGTAATGGCCTTAGTGCCAGCAAGTCATTGTCGAAAACCACCACTTAAGGTAACCTTCTTCTCTTGGTCTAAGAACGTCGACAAGACCTTTTTGCCATGCATGGTTTAAAGACTGAGAGATTGAAGAGTCCCTATAATGGGGGCACCTTGGGGACTTGGCCTTGGTGAGAACAGTTAGAACCTACCTTTGCCAATACACTTTTCTGCAGGAAAACCCTACCTCGTGATTAAAATGTCACTCTATTCGCAGATGAGTGAATTGTTTGTGCATTTTTTTGTTGCATAACATAATCTTACAACAGCAAAAAATGAAAATGAAATCTCAAAAACCCTTTTGTAATAAGTCACTTTTATCTCAGACAATCTGCATTTTAGCTAGCCTGGTTTTAAGTTCTTTGTAAGTTAAGTAGCCACGTAGTTCGACAGAAGAGATAAAAGGGTTATAAAAATCAAATAAATCAAATAAAAACCATAATAAGAGAAAATGGGACCCTGTTCATGGTGTTTGTTAGAAATGTAGGCTGAGATCAAGAGGGGGGGTGAATTGATCTTTGAAAGATTTTCACAATTAACAGATTATCTATTTCAAAGATTAAGAAATCTGACCAGTTCTTGAATCACACAGCAAGCAATAAAAAATAAATGCAGTCAATGAATTAAAGAAGAGAAAGATTTAGAAAGATATCACCAAGGTTTATACTAGTTCACCCAATCCCAGGGCTACGTCCAGTCTCCAGCCAAATTCCAGTTGGGTTCCACTAGATTGAATGTTTTACAGATTACAACCTTAACCTCACACTCAATCTACCACAAGAACCACAATTCCAGTTCCTGCACCTAACCTTTCACCAAGAACCAAATTCTAGTTCTTGACCAACTCTGCAGCCAAATTCCAGCTACAGAAACCAGTGCCCACAATTCCAGGCACCCACAATATAGTAAAATAAAGTAAAGAAACAAACAGAAGAAACAAAGAACGCTCAAACCAGTTTTATGCAGTTTTGCAGTATGTGTTTCTTCTCCAAAAGAATGGAATTTTGCCTCAAGAAAGAACTTTGATGAACTTCACAAAAACTAGCGTGATTCTTTCTTGAAAGTAGCACTTTTGATTGCTTGATTGATTGCTAAAAGATGTATTTCAGAAGATATCTAAAAAGTTCAAGCAACTCTGTTTATATAGAAGATTTTCAAAACTGCTAGTTTATTTAATCTGTTAAAATAATCTTTTAATCTGTTAAAAGTCTTATTTTAATCTGTTAAATCTTCTTTTAATCCATTAAAACGTTTCCAGATTTGTTTTAACTGATACGACAACGTTTATATCAATTAAAAATCTTTACAAAAAATCTTCCAATCTGTTTTAATCGATTGTTTCGTCTTTCAATCGATTAAAATCTCGCAAATCATTCTTATAAACTTTTCCAAGTGATTTTAAGCGATAAAAATTTGTTTTAATCGATTAAAGCGCTTAGCACAAATTTTCTTAACTTGTTTTAATCGATTGAAATGCGGTTTTAATCGATTAAAATAATTCGATCAGTCATAACTCAATTCGATCTATCATATCTGGTTTTGATCGGTCATATGCTCATTCTGATCGGTCAAACAGTACTCCAAGTGGTTTTAATCGATTATTTCGAAGTTGTATCGATTAAAATACTGCCAGAACACTTCTTTGAACATTTTAAGTGATTTTAATCGGTTATTTCGAAATTGTATCAGTTAAAATACTGACTGAAGGTTTTCAAAACTTCCTTTAATGAAAACAATCGGTTATTTCGAAGTTATATGAGTTAAAATCCTGTTATAAAAGTGTGAAGAACATTTTAGTTGATAAAGCTTATATGCTATTAGTTAAAATAGTTGATTAAGAAAGCTTTTGTCAAAATGCTTTGTTTTTAACCGTTAAAACATTTTTTAGAGGCAATTGCAAAATCTTTTAAATGAAGAAACCTCATGCAGCAGAAAGATAAAAATGATTATACCTAAGCAGAGCTGCACACACACTAATCCTTCTACTCTTTTATCCAAGTGACCTTTGACTGCCACAAAGTAGCCTTTGACTCCATTCTTGACTTCATCAAATCAACAAGATCTTTGCAAAAGTAATTCAATAAGATCTTCATTACTTTCAGTCTCCCCCTATTTGATGAAGACAAATATCACTTTGAAAAATAACTGTGCAGAAGAAGTCACTTGATAAAATAGATTAGTTAATAAAAAATTAATCAGTTTATCCATTTCTCCCCCTAAATTGCTGCTCTCCTAAAGAATTATTTCTCCCCCTAAATTTATCAGAAGTAAAGCAATTATTTCTCCCCCTTTTGACTTCATCAAAAAATAGGGAATAGAGGAACAAACAAATAAAAAATAAAAAAATTATGCATGGTATGTATCATGTTTTAGATTTTGAAAATAGTAAGAAAAAAATATGGATACGATACTTTACTCATGTAAAGACCAATCAAAGTTGATACAAACTTATCTTCATTAACACGTTTGTAATGAATACAATTAACACGTGTAAAGATAAGGGAACCACGCTTTAGTAGCATGTTACAAGAACAACCATTAACTAAAGCCTTTAATTTTTCTTCCCAGAGTAATAATCGATTAAAAAACAAGACAAAATCAATTAAAAAGTTTTTGTTAATTGTTTTAATCGATTGAAATTATGTTTTAATCGATTAAAACAGTGATGATATATGAAAGTTTAAAACATAAGTTGATATAATCGATTAAATCGACATTTAATCGATTAAAACAGTAAAGAAAAAAGTTGTATAAGTGCTTTTAATTGATTTAAAGCTTGTTTGTATCGATTAAAACAACCAGTTTTAGTAATGTTTGATGTATATATCATGGCTAATCCAGTGCAAATTTTGTAAAACCAATCATTTAGAAAAATGTTTTACAATAATATCAACTACATCGATTAAATTTTAACCAATAGATTCATCAAAATCAGAATAGTATCTTATTTAGCTGATTTAACTGATGTAAACTAGTTTTAGTTGATACAAATATATGACATATAAATTCTAATCGATTGATACGCAGTTTAATCGATTATTTTGTTGTGAATTTCCTATGTAAGTGTTTCTTTTAATCGATTAAATTCATTTTGTATTAGCTAAAATTATCAGAGATCTATGTTAAATTCTATCTAGGTTTTCTTGATTCGACTTAAAACCTACATTATATTAATCAAAGCTAAAAGGATTGTTTCTGGTTAATAACCAGTTAATATTACAGTCCATAAAAGAAAATTAGAAGCAAAAGAAATATGACGTAAAGAGAAAAAAGATAAGAATGGACCCTTTTTGTCCAAAAAAAAACTCAATCATCCCAGTTCCCTTGGTTGAGCTGCATATCTTCCGAGTTTGGTGTAGATATCGACAATCCAGTTTCCAAGGGATGTGAAGCTGATTATTTGTCTGCTGGAAATGTTGATATGTCATCTGCATATGCTTTCTCTGGTTTTCCTGCATTGTGGCCATTTGAGAAAGCATTGTCCTTTCAAATTGAGACAGAGGAGTCCCACGGTCAGGCTGCTCCATGTAGGGAATGATCTCCATATTTTCATATGAAGCTTGACCACTGGTAGATTCGGGAACCTCTGCAGCAACTGGAGAGGAAGGAATTTGACCTTGCTCATCTTCTTCATCATTGTCTTCCTCATCCTCAGACATTCCAGCATCAACCTTAGAAATTCATTCATCATCAATTTTAATAAACCCCATTTTTCGTAGGGTTGAGTCATCAATCTCATTAGATGCTTTTGGAGTTTCCACATACTCCCCTTCTAAATCCATTGCAAAATGTCTAAAAAATTTATTGATCAACAAAGCATAAGGTAATTTATAATCAGCAAGCCTCTTGGCTTTTACCATGTGGTCTTTAATAACATAGACCCGGTTAACTCTGAATCCTATTTTCAATGCAATACATGAGAGCCAAATCACCCTCATTGAGTATAGCATGATTACTCCCCCTTGGAGTAAGCATCCATGCAATAATGAAGGCAAGAATTCTTGATTCAAGCCTCATCTTCCCAGCATTGAAAATTCTCACCGAATCATCTTGATCTTTGAGACAGGTACGAAAAAATTGAATTTTGTTAAACTCTGGCAATTCAACAATATTACCTCTAGAGATTTTTACACCAACATCTTTGAGGCCAGCAACTTCATCCCAAATGTCGGGAGTAATGACCATATTAACTCCTTTTACCCGAGACCTTAAAGTGGAACCACTTACGAGTGAGATTTGCATAAAAAACTCTTACCAAATCCGGTTGAATGTTGCCGAGTATATTCCGAGAAAATTCTTCGAGTTTTTTATTCTTCGGTTTCCTTCTTAACGAAGTGAATCCTTCTTCATCTAGCCAAGCAAACCTTATGAATTTGGGAATTACAAGCTGCTTTTGACTAAAATTAGTGATCAAATTATTCATCTTATCTATATCACCATTGAACCAATTTTCAAGGTGGCCTCCACGATTTCAGCGAGAGGAAGACTCTCCCTTTTGTTTCTTCCTTGATTTTGATCTTTTGAACATGTTTGCAGCGAGAGATTCGATAGGAGATTTTGAAAATATGAAAACGGAAGAAAGATGATAAGTTGAGAAATGGTAAGTACAAAACCTAGTTTGATGAAGATCGGATTTCAAAATTTTGAAATCCAAAGAGACAAAGCTGCAACGTTTCAGCTTTAAATGTAATTGTCCCCTTGACAAAAGACGGAGGCACGAGGTTTACGGACAGTGGGTACTTCGAGCTATTTTGTTCTTTGATAAATTTTTGACTTGGTCAACAAATGCAATAAATGTATTATGCAGGTTTTGATTAACACAAAACTTGAATTTTTGACTGCTTTTCTTGACCAATTTTCAATTGGATGTTGTAAAAATGATTTTCGGGAACAAATTAATCGATTAATCAACAAATTAACCTATTAATTTGATCTTTAATATTAGGTTTGAAAATGCAATAGTAAAATGATCGATTAATACATGAAAGAACCGATTATTTTTGTACTGGAAGAAGTTTAGAAAATGATACCGAGAATTTTAATCGATTTAAACGAAGAAGAATCGATTAAATTTGACCTCTTAATGGTTTTAAGCTGATATAAATCCTTTTTAATCGATTAAAACAGCTAAACTAAAATTCCTGACGAATTTTAATCGATTAATTCGTATTTCAATCAATTAAAAGCGTACGGACAGATTTTCCGATATTCTCTGTAAGTGATTTTAACCAATTAAAGCTGTTTTATATCGATTAAAACATTCGGTTTACCAAACCAGAACCAATTACTGCTGTATTGAACACCAAGGGACTTCCAGATTTTGTTCTGCAAAACGATTTAGCATGTTTCTGGTACCTTTTTTTATAATTACTGGGTCCAATCAGGTTATTTGAAATGAATTTATTTTGGGAATCCACTTCATTCTACCTCTAGGAATAGCATACTTCTTAATTCTACAATATTTTACAGAATGACATTTTTTCACGCAGTAGAAACATTTAACCACTGATGATGAGTATGATTTCCTGTTTATATGTGTTTTTCGGATTTCATCCTAGATTTAAATCCTATACAGATTTGTCAAAAATCAGTTTTTGTGACCCAAGAAGAACATCAAGATTGGCTTGACCTTGTGTAAACTTTGAAACGGTTTGTGATAAAAAATCAATCTTCTTTTGTAATTACGAACAATTATTACATGATTTATTACATACACAATCAGAATTATCATGGATTAATTTTAAAAAGTCAAGATCAGTTTCATCTTCAAGAATTTACTTTTCAAGAGAATCTACTTTATTTACTAACCAATTATTCATGCCTTTTATCCTAGCATTTTCTTTTTGCAGTTTCTTAGTTTCTTCATGCATTTCATTAAATGCTTCTTGTAATGAATTATAATTCACTAAATTTGAAGAAGAGTTAGAACTTACACTGCTGGTTTGATGATTTTGATTTGCCATTAGACACAAGTTGACTTCTTCATTATCGAATTTTCTCGTTGATGAAGTATCATTATCATCCCATGCTACATATGCTCTTCTTTTGACTTTTTCTTCTTTCTTGTCATTGTATTTGTTCTTTTCGAGCACTCCATTCTTACATGACCACGCTTACCACAACCATAACATTTATAGTTAGAAGAATCATATTTTTTCTCATACCTTTTGTGTTTTTCTTTGTCTTGAATCTTTTTCTTGAGAAATTTGTTGAACTTTCCGACAAGCGGTCCAAGATTTTCACTTTCCTCCTCCGATTCTTGACTTCTTTCTTCAACCTTGAGTGCTATACTTCTACCTTTTTTTTCAGAGACTTCTTGCTCATTGAATCTGTTAATTTCCATCTCATGTTCTCTAAGTTTGCCAAACAAGGAAGGTCGTTGTCATGGTCGATAAATCTTTTGATTACGAGATTCTTGTGACCTTAGGCTGCCATGACTCTGTCAAGACATTTCAGAACTTTAATATTTAATTCTTCTTTATCAAAAGTTTTACCTAAGCCCATTATGATTGATGATATGAGTGAAGCGCTTACGCACATCTGCAATACTTTCACCGGTTTGCATTTTGAACAACTCATATTCTCTTATGAGAGTATGTTTTACGGCTTTCTTTACATCAGTTGTTCCCTCATGAGTAACCTCAAGAACTTCCCACATTTCCTTGGCAGATTTGCATTGGGAGACCACTGAAAAACTCATCCATATTTAGTGCGAAGTAATTATATTTTTAGCGAGTACAATCACTTTGAACTTTTTTCTTTTCTTCATCATTTAAGCTGGACCATTCTTTTTACGTAATTAATGGACCATTAGCAATTACATCCCAAACATTTCTATCAATAGATTCAATAAAGATCTTCATACTAATCTTCCAAAAAGGATAATGCATTCCACAAAACGGTGGAGGTCTATTAATAGAAGCCCCTCGGAAAAAGGTAATTTGTTTTCAGCCATTAAAAAATTTGGACCGAAAGCCTTGAGTATTTTTCAAGACCCTTGCTCTGATACCAATTGTTAGAAATGTAGGCTGAGATCAAGAGAGGGGTGAATTGATCTTTGAAAGATTTTCGCAATTAACAGATTATCTATTTCAAAGATTAAGAAATATGACCAGTTCTTGAATCACACAACAAGCAATAAAAAATAAATGCAGTCACAGAATTAAAGAAGAGAAAGGTTTAGAAAGATATCACCAAGGTTTATACTGGTTCACCCAATCCCAGGGCTACGTCCAGTCTCCAGCCAAATTCCAGCTGGGTTCCACTAGATTGAATGTTTTACAGATTACAACCTTAACCTCACACTCAATCTACCACAAGAACCACAATTCTAGTTCCTGCACCTAACCTTTCACCAAGAACCAAATTCCAGTTCTTGACCAACTCTGCAGCCAAATTCCAGCTACAGAAACCAGTGCCCACAATTCCAGGCACCCACAATATAGTAAAAGAAAGTAAAGAAACAAACAGAAGAAACAAAGAACGCTCAAACCAGTTTTATGCAGTTCTGCAGTATGTGTTTCTTCTCCAAAAGAATGCAATTTTGCCTCAAGAAAGAACTTTGATGAACTTCACAAAAACTAGCGTGATTCTTTCTTGAAAGTAGCACTTTTGATTGCTTGATTGATTGCTAAAAGATGTATTTCAGAAGATATCTAAAAAGTTCAAGCAACTCTGTTTATATAGAAGATTTTCAAAACTGCTGGTTTATTTAATCTGTTAAAATAATCTTTTAATCTGTTAAAAGTCTTATTTTAATCTGTTAAATCTTCTTTTAATCCATTAAAACGTTTTCGATTTGTTTTAAGCTGATACGACAACGTTTATATCAATTAAAACTCTTTACAAAAAATCTTCCAATCTGTTTTAATCGATTGATTCGTCTTTCAATCGATTAAAATACTGCAAATCATTCTTATAAACTTTTCCAAGTGATTTTAACTGATAAAAATTTGTTTTAATCGATTAAAACGCTTAGCACAAATTTTCTTAAGTTATTTTAATCGATTGAAATGCAGTTTTAATCGATTAAAATAATTCTGATCGGTCATAACTCAATTTTGATCGATCATATCTGGTTCTGATCGGTCATATGCTCATTCTGATCGGTCAAACAGTACTCCAAGTGGTTTTAATCGATTATTTCGAAGTTGTATTGATTAAAATACTGCCAGAACACTTCTCTAAACATTTTAAGTGATTTTAATCGGTTATTTCGAAATTTTATCAGTTAAAATACTGACTGAAGGTTTTCAAAACTTCCTTTAATGAAAACAATCGGTTATTTCGAAGTTATATTAGTTAAAATCCTGTTATAAAAGTGTGAAGAACATTTTAGTTGATAAAGCTTATATGCTATTAGTTAAAATAGTTGATTAAGAAAGCTTTTGTCAAAATGCTTTGTTTTTAACCGTTAAAACATTTTTTAGAGGCAATTGCAAAATCTTTTAAATGAAGAAACCTCATGCAGCAGAAAGATAAAAATGATTATACCTAAGCAGAGCTACACACACACACTAATCCTTCTACTCTTTTATCCAAGTGACCTTTGACTGCCACAAAGTAGCCTTTGACTCCATTCTTGACTTCATCAAATCAACAAGATCTTTGCCAAAGTAATTCAATAAGATCTTCATTACTTTCAGTGTTAAGTATCGAATTCATGAACATCCATATAGGTAGTTTCTCTTGAAAAAAAACAAACGCTATCATGCACCATGTAGAAAATAAAACATGATAACGTTTAGGAAAACCAAACACTTTCATGCATGCACCAACATCATACTAATAGCATGCATTTTTCTGTTTCTAGAAAAATGGAGGGATCCAGCAATAGACAGTTGGGAAAAGTGGATATTTCCCATTACCGTGTTTAGAGGTTGGAACAATTATGCACGTTGATGTTGCTGAAGGTTCGATCCGACTTCGAGAGATCTTACGGATGGATCCTCGACCTCTTGAGAATCTCCATTGAGCACGTGTTCGATAGAGTCTTGATCAACTTTTGGAGCTCCAGACTACATTGCTTTGAGTTCCCTCAATTTGATTTGGTTCCGACCTTGGAAGAATATGAGCTTATGATTAGATGGCCCAAGTCAGCTGGGGTCTATATTAGCTAGGGAGCTTATATCTCAGTGAACAAGGTTGCCAACCTTATCCGATTGCCACTTCCACAGTCTGCCCTAAAGGGAAAAGGGAGTGTCCAAGGGTGGAAGATCTCAATGTTAGAAGACCATTTATCCTCTTTGGCTGATAAAGGAGATTGGTCTACATTTAACAAGACTCTAGCACTAATTGTGTTTGGGACCTTTTTGTTCCCTTTCCATAACAACACCGTGGATCACATCGCATGGATGCCTTTTTTGCCTGGGACATACACTTGAAGAGTCTCGTGCTTTCACTTCTTGCCGACACCTTGCTGTCAGTAGAATTCTGTCATCACAAGCAAGGAAAACACTCAGTTGTTATTCTACATTACTGTATGTTTGGGGCATGACTCACTTCTATGCCTCAAGTCACATGGGAGCATTCCCCGATCCTTTGAGGAGTTTCTCAAAGATCCCTCTCCGCCGTCATCACGCCATGGAGTGGAAAACCGAGTTGGAACACTGGAACATAGATCACATATCTTGGGCATGTCCTTAGTTCCGACCCGACCGTATTCTCATCAGATGCGGAGATCACGTGAATGTACCATTGTTGGGTCTTAGGAGCTGCATAGCCTATTCCCCAAGGATAGCTATGAAGCAGCTTATGAGGACCCAAACCGTGCCAACACGAGAAGAACTCGGGGTACTGTGTTTCTTCTGTAATTCCAGTAGCTTCAAGGATGCGCCTGTTATCCGAAGAGCATGAGAGAAACTGGTCTACATAGGGGATGAAGAGCTTGGCAGGGCTCGAGTGACTGTTTCTAGTGACTACAAGGAATGGAGAAAAAGTAGAAGGGTGACACCACCACCCGCTCCACTTGCCCCACCATCAGTAAATGGAGAATTGCAAACTCAAGTCGATGCCTTGACCCAAAGGATAGAAATCATAGGAGCCCAGTTAAGGGCCCTTGAGGAGAAAGAACAAGAATCTATCCTCACCATTGATGGTCTACAAAGACAATGCAAGAAGAAGGACCAAGAGATAGAGCGTCTCAAGGACCAATGTGCTGACTCCAACGAAGAGGTTATCCGAGCATCCAAGGTTGCAAGAGTAAACTTGGATAATCAACTCCAAGAGATGACAACCAAATTAGCACACCTAGAGGCCGAATAAGCAAAGCAAGCACAAATGACCAAGATGATGCAATAGGAACTCTCGAAGACTCGGTTTGAAGCACAACGAAGGTGGGAGACCACCCAAAGACTTAACAGAAGCCTAGTTGAGCTACGCTGCAAAGAGAGAGATAGATTAGCTCAGTACGGTCAAGTTCTGCAAGAAAGAGATCGAGCCATCGAGAAGCTCGACAACTTACAAGCCTTGGTCGTCCATCAAGAGGCAAAAATAAAGGAGGCTCAAAAATACAGTGAAGATATGAGCCAGGCGGTCCATCGAAAATCCGAAGCACTTGATCATCACGTACGAGAAGCCGAAGGGGAATTACGTAGAAATCAGAACCCGCCTGTGGTTTTCTTTAGGCTTTTCCGTTTCTGTCAGAATGTGCTTGTAGCATGGTATAGGGGAATGTACACTTATTCCTGATAAATAAAAATATCTTTTTGTTTACAACTGTCTATTGCATTCATCACATTCATTCACATACCCCTCCTTGTCTAAATCTAATAAGATAATAAAAAGGAAAGGTTAACTGATGTGTTTCCATAAAACAGAAGAATGGAGAGAAAACCGCTCGTCATCAGTCTCTCCCTAACGGCTGAGCCACCTAAAGAAGACAATAAGCCTCAACCGCTAGTTATCACAATCAATAAAGAAGAGGGGGCAAGGACACCATCACGCCTATTTATGCCTCGTCCTTTCCCCTACGAATCAAATAAAGCTGTACCATGGAAATACGCAGTAAACGAAGATATTTCCAATATAGCCGACATTGGGGCATGACTAGAAGCGGACGAATCTACTCCCCCAAGGAGTCACAGGAAGACGCACCCAAAAATAAAGGGAAAAATAAAGAAACCGAAGAAGAGAATAAAGAGGAATCCAAGGAGGAGACCGATGAGTTACTCCAGTTTATAAGACAAAGTGAGTACTCCATCATAGACCAACTCAATCGCACGCGTGCGAAGATAACTCTACTATCATTAATAATGAGTTCGGAGCCACACCGGAATGCACTGTTGAAGGTCTTGAACGAAGCCTACGTATCGCATACTATATCCCAAGACAAGTTTGAAGGGA